ATTAATTGTAACACACCGCCCCCTCGGCGGGAAGATCGATTCACGTAAAAGCTATTATAGCCTGTTAACCTAAAAACTTCTTCCTCGCATGTTTACCAGGTTACCGTTATTATACTAACGTCAAATCTAAAGGAAAATTCATTGAGGAACGTACCGAGCTCGTCATATTTCTTTCGAGCCGATCGAGCATTGCTGTGTAAAAATAGGAGGTGAGCACTGTCGTTCTGATGTGTGATAGCTTTTGGTGACGCCATGTCAAAAGAAAAAAACAGTAAACTAAAAAATTGGCCCCGTATCCGCATGTTACACTGCAAATGTCGTCAAAAGACGATAGTCCTGTGTCTGGAGAGAGTGAACAAAACGTCTATTTGATGTTCTTCGCAAGAAAATAGGTGAATGGTATTCTGGAGGCGCTGCGTTAGAGTGCCTCAAGCATGCAGTGGAGGCGAACGAGCGCATCAAGTCACGTCACACGTGAGAAACGAGCGCTATCTGGTAGTTACATTGCAAAACGAAGCACGCGCGCCCGTCTCAGAGGTGATAAGGTGTAGAACGCAAGGCGACGGGTAGGTGCCACCACCGTGTCGTCTTAGCAAAGTGTTGGAAACGCTTGCCTTTTCGTGCAAGCTTTGCATGGTCAGCGCAACGTGATAAATGATTCGGTCTTTAAAATTACTTATCTATGCTTTTCCTAGTAAAAGATACACATACATAATATTGACGTGTTGTTATGGCGCCTTAGATATGCGCAATAGTTGCTTTTTAATTGACAATCGCACAAATATGAACGCTGAATCTTGAGCAATATTGGTGGGCGCTGCGGATGAGGTCAGCCGTTTGAAGTATCGTTTGGCCACTTTGGGCCCGTTTAGGGTATCACTGAGGGTGGGCGAACAGACAGACCAAAATTGTGTCGAAGGTCCGCGAGAAAGACTGTCGTCTTTTAAAAAATGTATGACAAGGTGCTCACTTCTTTACGAGGCGAGGCTACCTTCGCTCATCTTATCTCGATCCGCCTCACTGGTTATTCGGATTGCACGAGAAGTGCCTGTTTTACGAGCGAACACTTTGCCACCCCTGGTCCATGCAAATTGCCAATTCAGTTCTCGTTTTCGTGCAATCGTCAGCCCAAGCAGCCTCTTCAGTTGCGGGCACAAATGCTCGTTAATGTACACTGGTTGCTTTGTGGAAAAACCAAGATCTTCCGAGTTTGTCCGAGTTCGTTTTGCTTTAACAACTAGTAGTGCACCACTTTTTACTCGGTAGTGTTGAAAGACACTGCAATGTTCGAGTTTACTGCCCCGCCGCGGTGGTCTAGTGGCTAAGGTACTCGGCTGCTGACCCGCAGGGCGCGGGTTCGAATCCCGGCTGCGGCGGCTGCATTTCCGATGGAGGCGGAAATGGTGTCGGCCCGTGTGCTCAGATTTGGGTGCACGTTAAAGAACTTCAGGTGGTCGAAATTTCCGGAGCCCTCTACTACGGCGTCTCTCATAATCATATAGTGGTTTTGGGACGTTAAACCCCACATATCAATCAATGTTCGAGTTTACAGAGCTGTCTTGCTGTCCTGAAGCATTTGAACGAGCAGTTGCACTTTGGGCTAGAATACGATGGCAAGCTTCAATGCCATGCTCAGTAATAGCGTCGCCTAGTGCGTCACCTATTTTAGTGAGCACCTGTGCGAGCTTTTAATTGGCTTTTTTGGGATGCTTCTAATCTCAATGTTTTTGTCCCGCGAATATTGATCTTGCGCGGTGATGCGCTTTGCGTTTTCTTGTGTCATATTTTTGAGATACTCAATTTCTCGCAAAAGGATTTCTTGGGTAGCTTTTAATGCTGTGTTTTTGCTCTTGATCTCTGAGCATTCCTTTTTGAGAGACTCATGTTCCTTGCTTACAAAGTCTAGACTGCTCTTTAGTTCTCTCATTTCTTTTCGAAATTCTCGCTTCAAGCTATCCATCTCACTTCCCATTTAGAGGTGCAATTCAAAACACCCCCGCCAACACCGCAAATTCACGAATAATAATTCACACAGTTTAGAACTACACTATCGGCAGCAGAGGCAACAGAAAGAAGAGGTTAGAAGTATGCAAACCTGTGAGACAACTAGAAGGTAAGCCTGTGCGCTGCTTGCCGCCCCTGCTGTCAAAATGTCGTGAAGCCGGCGTTGCGCTTCTTTATAGCAGCGTATCAGTGTCCACGCAGGCGCAGAAGGGTCCGAGTTAAGCCACGTAGGCGTGGAAAAAATCCTGGCTCCTACGTGGCCAGGTAATAGCGCCAGCAGTCCCGCTGGGCTAGAGCTCTGCAGTCTTAACGGATGCCGTACTCTACCACGGCAGCTGTCCATGGTATCGCCTGTGAAACAAGTAAAAGGTAAGCCTGTGTGCTGCCTACCGGCCCTACTGCCAAAATGTCGTGAAGCCGGCGTTGCGCTCCTTTATAGCTGCGTATCAGTGTCCACGCAGGCGCAGAAGTTCCGATTAAGCCATGTAGGCGTCGAAAAAATTCTCGCTCCGATGTGGCTGGTTCATAGCGCTAGCAGTCCCGCTGGGCTTGAGCCCTGCAGTCTTAACCGATGCCGCACTCAACCACGGCAACTGTCCTGGTATCATCTGTGAGACAAGTAGAAGGTAAGCCTGTGCGCGCCTGTTCCAAGGAAGGAAGGAAAATAGCAGGAAAAAAACGGCAGGGAGGTTAACCAGCCTATAGGCAGCCGGTTTGCTACCCTGAACACGGGAGGGGGATGGGGAGATGAAAGATAGAAATGATAGAGGGAAGAGAGATAAACACAGCACATTAGGCAGCACACGCGCGCACACTCAGTCATAGTCCTCTCTTGTCTTTCGTGGTGTGTGACATTGATGTTACAGCCGCTTGTTCAAGTCCGTGTCGCTTAGAAATTTCAACAGTGCTTTTGTCACCTTCTGTTGCAATGTCTTCTCTCGGGCACTTGAAAGAATAGTGTCCACACACATTTGGCTGTTGTCGATGCGCACAAGAACGGACGCCAGTGACTGTCTCTGTATGTCATACAACAAACAGTCGCACAAGATGCGGTGTAGCGTCTGTTCGCAATGACAGGCATCGCAGAGAGCGTTGTCGGTTGTTCCTATGACAAATGAATAAGATTTTGTAAATGCCACCCCTAGCCATAAGCGATGAAGAAGGGTGGCTCCTTTTCGGTCGAGCCCAGTGGGCATGCGGAGAGCCATCAAAGAGGACAGGTGGTGGTGAAGCCGGCGTTGCGCTCCTTTATAGCTGCGTATCAGTGTCCACGCAGGCGCAGAAGGGTCCGAGTAAGCCACGTAGGCGTGGAAAAAATCCTTGCTTTGACGTGGCCAGGTGATAGTGCTAGAAGTCCCGCTGGGCTTGAGCCCCGCAGTCTTAACCGATGCCGGGATCAACCATGGCAGCTGTCCTGGTATCGCCTGTGAGACAAGCAGAAGGTAAGCCTGTGCGCTGCCTGCTGCCCCTGCTGCAAAAATGATGACCGCCGCCGTAGCTCGGTTCGTATAGAGCATCGGACGTGTTCTCGGAAGCTCCAGTCCCTTTCTTGTGGCAAGTTATCTTTTTGTGCACTTTTTTTCTTCACGTTTGCATTACATTAGTACTAATAACGTCCCAAACACTTTCATTGACATTATTGTCTGTATTAGCGGAGTTCGGCAAATTATCTTTTTGTACACTTTTCCTTCTCGTTTCCATTACATTCACTACTAATAACGTCACCAACACTTTCATTGACATCATTGTTTGTACGAGCGGGGTTTCGACGAAAGCGCTGGAAGCTAAGCAGGAAGGGATGGCGTGGGAAAAGAAAATACGTCATGCGCAACTCGTGACCTTAGCATTTCTTTTTTTTTTCTTCTAATGCGTGGCTTTTCATTGCAATTGCGCGCACACGCGAACAAGTCGCGGCCTCCCGCGGCGCTCCCAGTAACTACCGAGAGCGCCATGCTCAAATCCGCCAATGGCTGATACGATTAAGGCCCCTGTATTTTTCAAAGGTAGCGCAAACTCCCTTCCCCGCGCCGTTTCCTCCTCGCCCGCCACTCTTAGCCGCCATGAAGGAGCGACTCACGCGGAGCGCGCCGCCGGACGGTTTCGTTTTGTCGCGCAGCGCGTTGAAGTAAGGCCCCTAGGGGCCTTACGTTGAAGTGCTTGCTTAAAACGCGCCAATTCTTGGCGTAAATGCACAACGGTGCTCGCAAATACTGTGTAAGAACAACAGTGTGCGATCGGCCAGTGCCTTAGCTATCATTTCGCGTTTTGAGGGGAACCAAATGTACCAAATGCCGCCCTATCGCAATCTGCCTTTGCAGTACTCATCGCCGATTTAATCTGGAGCCTGCTTCACAAGATAGAAAAATCTGGGCTTTGTGTAATTCTTGTTGGGTTTATAATGTGCCTTTGCAGTACTCATGGTCGATTTAATCTGTTGCCTTCTCCATAAGATAAAAAAATCTTGTCTTCGTGTAATTTTTCTTGGGTTTATAAGTCTGGAAGAGCCCCTCAAAAGTTAATATAAGTGCTCTTAGAGCTTGAGTTTGTACAGGAACAACAGAGCCCTACTGAAATTTGGGACATGCATGCCTGCTTCCATAATGGGACATGTGTAAACGATTCATCCATAAAATATCACAAATGTTTAGTGGGATGAAGGTAGATTTTATTGAGTGTGCAAATAAAATGCGAGAAGCATCGAATGATCACGAACGCTGCAAAACATTCCAGTAGAGCGACGACAGGGCGAAACAATTTCGCTATCAAATCAGATAATTAGAGACTCTAGAGGTGACAACAGTTGTCATCGTAGTGGTATCAACTCACAAAATGAGCCGCCCACTGGTTGAGGGGTCATCCTTGTGGACGTTCCAGGCTGGTCCCAGGAGGCAGCTGTAAGCATGAATTGTAAATACAGAGGCTAGAGGCGTGAACATTTGCCATCACAGTGCAGTTAACTCACAAAATGGGCTGTCCACTGGTTCAGGGTCGTGGTCTATTGACGTTGCTGTGTTGTCCGAGGAGGCAGCTGTAAGCATGAATTGCGTAAGTACACAGTCTAAAGGCGCGAACATTTGTCATCACAGCGCAGTCAACTCACAAAATAAACTGCCCACTGGTTCAGCGTCCGGGGCCCTCCCCACTGACGTTTCTGGCTCATCCAAGGATACAGCTGTAAGCAAGAGTTGAGCAAGTACAGTGTAGGGGTGGGGATGTTTGCTGCCACAGTAAGACAGAATTGGATGCCGAATTAATCAGGTTCACAGGTCATAAAGATAAATGCAGCAACTATGCTATCTGCCAGCGATCCAAACACACTGTATTTTCATATAAACCCCAAAACATAATCGCATTCACAACACAAGAGAGGAATAGAAACTACAAAGGGGCCTCACCAGGAACCGTTTCATTCCCCCTTTTGCGGGGTGGCTTGCGCTCTCTCGGAAGAGGCCGATGCGCAAATATAGAAGGAACCGCATTTGGCTTGAGTTTCTTGATCCCAGTTTGTGCCGGAATTGCTGGCTCATACTGATCCATCGTGAAGTGTTTCTGAAAAATACCGACATCCTCTATCTCATTTTTGCAATTTGGCTGATGTGATATTGCCGAAGCAAAATATTTTGCTTCTTACGTTAAAAATGCAAACAGCCACAAAAGCCAGATGATTTTCTTGCATTTAGTAGGTGCCTTTCTCTTTGTTAGTCGAAAGTGTACAACTTCGCAAGTATGTTCGAAATTTGAACAAAAGTATCTATGCATTTCACAAATAAACAACTATACAACATTATATATACACTCTCTTATATTAGCTGTACACGCATGCACAAAATTCGGTCATGGAAGTGCGCAAAAGTGAGATAAATATGAAAGAATACAAACTGAGAACACAATAAACCACAATAAACGCCGAAATTTTGCCTACAGGTAACCGAAGTTCGAGCGAAAAAAAAAGGAAAAACGATCTAAGACGTGGTTGATCTCTGGAGAAGCATAATTGCTTCCGCTGCAAATGGTTCCATTTAGAAAGCAAATCGCGAACGCCAAACATTCAACAGTAATTATGTTGTGGCCGTATTCGAATATTCGAGCAAGCTAAAAACGATCGAGCTGTCATCGTGGTTGAAATCGTGCGAGAAAGCGTCGACGGAAACTTCAAGCTGCTTTTGTTTAACATGAACCTGAACCGAAAATGAGCTTTATCTGAAAGCCTTCCGGAGGCATGTCTACGCGAAGAAGTTCTGTAGTGAGTGCTTACCTCGCAAAGCCTCCCTCGGTGACAATCGAAGTTTTTCCTGCCGATGCGATGCAGCCATACCGCTCTCCGCTGCTCATTATTTTTTCCTCGTGGAACCACAAAAAGCTTGTCGCCTTTTGCAATGCTGCTGGAGCAGCCAACGGCACAGCAGGTCGCCATTGCGCTGCATCCGAGGCCGCCTTGTTAAAGTCAACACACGTGGGAGCGAGATGCAGTGCGCTCACTCATGGCGTCGCTGCCCGGTGGAGCCGAACCTGACGAGGGGTCAACAAGGTTCATTGGTCACGTGTCGCGCCTGGTCCAATAGGGTAGCAGAAACGCGCGCCGGAGTGAGGAGAGACGTAGAGGACGGGGAGGAAATTCTCCTCCGCTTTTTGTACAATGGTTTGCGCTACCTTTGAAAAATACAGGGGCCTTAGATACGATGACTGTGACGGGTGATTCTTTAGCTTGTTCCGTAGTTTGTCGAGAAAAAAGAAAACAGTTTTTAGCTGTGACTTTGAGAATTTATCGCGATTTGCAGGCCACGTGCTGCGCTGCAGTATTTGGCTCGAGTTTTCTGGAAACCTCGATTACCGATCAGCAGCGTTTTCTGACCACGCTCAAAAAGTATAGCAGAGCCTCTGTGAATTCGCACTTCTTTTCTTCATGATCATATGCTGGTTTTGGCAGGTTAGACGCGTTCTTGTTGGGCGCACTGACCATTATCTCGTCCCTCTTGAAAACTCGGTTGAGTTTGTATTTGAGGGCAACACGGCAGCACCCTCAAGCGCTTCGATGGAATGACTCTTCAACATTGCCAATGAAAAGCAGACGAGAAAACATATTCAAGCGTCGGATGACGTCGAGATGCAACTCTTGCCGAGTGCGAACAAGATACTTTACTTAGTTTCCGATTTGTGTAGCGGACGTTATTTTCAACTCGCGCAACAATATTCAATCGGCATTCATAAAACCGCCAGAAGAACGTGTTGAAGAGCGAGCTGTTACTTGCCGACATTTTTTAGGGGCGAAGCTCCGTATAGCGGCATCCGTTCGTTCCTCGTAGTCGTAGTAGTAGTGTGTAGTTGTTGAAAAAACAGGTCACTGACCAATGTCAAACAAAACAATGACGTTTCAGGACCCGTACGGGTCCCTTGTTCACAATGGAATGACGGCTGAGCAACAGGTTTCTTATGTATCGTTGAGCGCATGACGCAAAGTCCGGGAGTACACGTGGTTTAGTGTGCCATATGATCTATTGATTGTGTTACTTGTCTGAATGATTAGTGACTCGAGGTTCAGTCTGGTTGTAAAATTCTTCTCCGTGGCCACGATGCGTGCGTTGTCCCAGCTTATCTCGTGGCCCGTCTTCTCGGCATGCTCTGCGAGTGCATTTGTCACTGTGTGGCCCTTGGCGACGTCATTCTTGTGTTGCATCAGACGTTTGCAGTAATTTCCACTCGTGCCAATGTACACCGATTCACAATCGGCGCATGGTATCTTGTAGACCACACCAGGAAAGTGTTGCCGAGGGAGAGGATCCTTCACATTTAGCAACTCAGCCTTAAGCTTGCTTGCTGGAACATGCGCGATCTGTACACCACGTTTGCTGAATAGACGGACTAGGGCTTCGCTTATATTTCGAATATAAGGAATCGATGCACGCTTTTTTGTAGACGATGCGTTATGCATGGCCTGACTAGTTAACTGCAGTTTATGCATGACGGATTTAGTTGTTTTCCTAATAAAATTCCTGGGGTATCCATTCTTGATCAGGTCATCTTCAATGGTCCGGAGCTCCTCCTGCAGGCTTTCTTCATCGGAACAAATGAACAATGGGGTATCCATTCTTGATCAGGTCATCTTCAATGGTCCGGAGCTCCTCCTGCAGGCTTTCTTCATCGGAACAAATGAACAAGATGACCTGATCAAGAATGGATACCCCAGGAATTTTATTAGGAAAACAACTAAATCCGTCATGCATAAACTGCAGTCAACTAGTCAGGCCATGCATAACACATCGTCTACAAAAAAGCGTGCATCGATTCCTTATATTCGAAATATAAGCGAAGCCCTAGCCCGTCTATTCAGCAAACGTGGTGTACAGATCGCGCATGTTCCAGCACGCAAGCTTAAGACTGAGTTGCTAAATGTGAAGGATCCTCTCCCTCGGCAACACTTTCCTGGTGTGGTCTACAAGATACCATGCGCCGATTGCGAATCGGTGTACATTGGCACGAGTGGAAATTACTGCAAACGTCTGATGCAACACAAGAATGACGTCGCCAAGGGCCACACAGTGACAAATGCACTCGCAGAGCATGCCGAGAAGACGGGCCACGAGATAAGCTGGGACAACGCACGCATCGTGGCCACGGAGAAGAATTTTACAACCAGACTGAACCTCGAGTCACTAATCATTCAGACAAGTAACACAATCAATAGATCATATGGCACACTAAACCACGTGTACTCCCGGACTTTGCGTCATGCGCTCAACGTTACATAAGAAACCTGTTGCTCAGCCGTCATTCCATTGTGAACAAGGGACCCGTACGGGTCCCGAAACGTCATTGTTTTGTTTGACATTGGTCAGTGACCTGTTTTTTCAACAATGCCTTTACCTGACCAGACGGCATTCCGTCGAACTCTCGGCCATAGTAGTGTGTAACCTGTCTTAGCTTTTGACCTCCAAGGTGTCATTCAAAGTCGAATATTCCGCATATATGAGGCACCATAACCACACGTCAATATTCTGAAAGGGCATACATAAGTAATTTTAAGGACCGTAGCGTTTATCACGTTGTGCTGACCATGCAACGCTTGCACGAAAAGGCAAGTGTTTCCAAGCTTTGCTAAGACGACAGGGTGGTAGCACCTACCCGTCGCTTTTTGCGTTCTGCACCTTATCACCCCCGAAAAGGGTGTTCACGCCGCGTGCTTTATTTGCTGGATACCTTTGCCAGTAAATCGATGCATTCATTACTCTAGACTTATTAAAGTGAAATCCTCGTTGCATCGCACACGCAGAAATTGATTGGTGTCGGCGTCAACGCGAGGGATGTGAAAAATCAGCATGTGATGACACCAAAGCTCGCCAATGTGGTGACGTCGTGATCACTTCATCACGTGACATTGCAGATTGGTCTACGGTGTGCCGGTCATGGGGGCAGGGCTAAACCCGTTGCTAAACCAGGTGAAGCGCCTCCAATCCTGGAGGCCATGAAAAAGCAAATTAGGTGCAGGGAGCGTCTGGAGGGGTTCGTGACAGGATCAATGGAAGAGAGTGAGAAGAAACAGAAGGTGGCTTTCGCCTTCCTGTCGTTGAGTTGAGCGTATGAAAGATCCTGTTCATGATCACCAACTATAGGTATCACACTTTTCAGGAGCGCGCGATGACACTTGACACAATGTGTCGAGCAAATTATCTTTAGAGAATTTGCCACCCACCGTGGTGGTATAGTGTCTAAGGCACTAGGATGCTAATCTGTAAGTTGCGGGTTTGAATCCCGGCCGTGGCGATTGCATTTCTGATGAAGGCGAAAGTGCTTGAGGCCCGTGTTCTTCAATTTAGGAGCACGTTAATAAACCCCAGATGGTCGAAATCCATAATCATATCGTGATTTTGGGACGTGAAACCCCCGCAGTCATTAAAAGAACTTGTTGCTTGGGTTAGTTGGCTCATACTGCTCGACTTCAGAGCGCAAGTTCTGCACGGGACAAAGAACACACACAGCAAAAGATACACGTTATCTCGCAACTATTGTTATTGGGAGAAAAAAAATCTTTCTTAGATATCTGAATCACGCAGCTTAATTACGGTTAGTGTTAACTGTTTCGAAAATGCCTTGCATATACTTCAGCGAATGACTCGGTGGTTTTTTTTTTAAATCAGTAACGCAAAGGATAGAACGGTTTCAACATAAACAAGTACACAACACTAAGGGTAAGACAAAAAAAGACTGTTCTAAAACATACGAGCTGTTGTGGCAAGATACAGAAAGTGTGATTTCGATATACGGGGATAAAATATTGCGGTTCCTGGACTTGTGTATTAGGAATGTATGGTGTATTTTTAAAAATATGTATCAAAGTAAGCTATACAATAATCCAAGTGCTCCTACAAGCAAAAAAAGCATTGTATGCAGGCACGCGGTTGACCTCTGTTTTCACGGTTTCGGGAATGGCTCGCTAAAAATGTGACTCAAGTTTATTTAGCAAAGCAGCGATGTGGGTGAGTTGGTAGAGCTGCATCGTAACGTGGTAGTAGGTTCTTTACTGAAGCCATTAGACGTTTCACTTGGAGTGGCTTAGCAAGGCTCTTTAGATAAGCCCCTGTATAAACGCCTTGGCAAAGTGGTACGAAGTTGATGGGTGCGATGCCAGTGAATAATTATATTGGAATGCGAATTATAATGTGGATGCCTCATCAAACTATGAAAAAGTGACCGTCGGTAGTGGAGTCAGCGCGAATAAAAAAAATCACGTGAACAGCTATCAAAGTAAGCTATACAATAATCCAAGTGCTGCTACAAGCAAAAAAGCATTGTATGCAGACACGTGGTTGACCTCTGTTTTCACAGTTTCAGGAAAGGCTTACTAAGAATGCTTGATGATGATGTCACGGCTTGATGACGGTGCCACGACTTGATGACGATGTCACGGCTTGATGACTGTGTCACGGCTTGATGACGATGTCACGGCTTGATGACGACATCACGACAAATATTGGGGCTGCACCGCCATCGCCTTCTGGTGACAATCACTTCCTTGAGGCTTCCACGCACTTTCTGCACTTTCGCCGCAGGCACCAACTCGTGAGCGGTCGCCGAGTAGTAAAAGTATGTGGGGATTTCACGTCCCAAAACCACGCTATGAAAGACGCCGCAGTAGAGGGCTCCGGAAATTTCGACCATCTGGTGGTTAACTTGCACCGGTAACGCACATTACGCAGCCCACTATCATTTCGCCTCCATTTAAATGCGATCGCCACGGCTGGCATCGAACCCTCGACCTTCGGTTCAGCAGCCGAGCACCCGAAAGCCCCTGTTCCATCGAGGTGGACACCACCGAATAGTAGT